GAGTGTAAAATGGTGTGAGATGATCTGTGTAGCTTTGTTACTGACTAAGATCAGCTGTTTCCTTAGCCAGGATCATTTATTTAAAGCCCAATGATCAGGAACAGCTGGGTCCAGTTTCGAACCATCAAAAAGCTACTGACTTTTCTCAGGATCGACCCGGCGACCTTTTGATTAGTAGGCGAGCGCTATTACCACTATGCTACCCAGCCAGTTGATAAGATAAGATAAAAGCAAGAAGGGTGTATAAGTTGTATAAGAGTTACAAATTTCAGATCTATCCATCAGATTCAAATAGCTAGACATTAACGATCAAGTTTTGCTTATTTAGCTATGGTGTATTCGTACTGAGAAGAGTATAGATAGCACAGTCATCGTGGACAATTACGTTAAACGTTCAACGCGTTATGAATGTTGTACGTCAGATCTAACGCATCATTCGCTCAATTAGCAAATATAAACAGTGTCTTGGATCAACATGACGTCTTCTCAGAACTTCTGAGATGCCATTGTTGATGATTGAAAGATGGTGTAAAAAGTATATCTAATTTATTTCCGACAGTATGATTTGTATCGGAATCAGTAATTGTATTTTAAATCGAAAACAGGTATTAAAAAATGTTTTAATGTGATAAGAATAAAAGTTCAGTAGATAGATTGAAACTTAAGAGAAAATATGCAACTGGTTTATCAGGTGCAATTCAACAAAGGTGTGATCAGATGAATATAATAATATTCATATTATGTCAAGTGCAATACATTGCATTTATGAAAAATTGAATGGCAAGGTACAGTACTTTGTAAAACTAAACTCTGTCGATGTAATGCCGGGCTTAAAAACTACGATACGAACTGTATGACAAGTTTAGTATCCGTTAATGCCATTAGTGTATCAATATACTTCTTTCGTCAGTGATAAGGTTAGATATTAGAAATAATTAAGTACATAGTGTTATTTAAATTAAGTGGATCCGGGAACAGCATTTTATTCATTTGAACTATTACATTTACAGCAACAAAATTATCAAAAGTATTGTAGTAATACCTAAAAATATACGTTTTGAATCAAATATAAATTTTCCATCATATTCGGTACAGTTAATACTATTCGATGAAATGGCGACCATACATAGTAGGTATTTTAAGCCAAGTATGAATGGAGATGAGTGTAGAATGACTGGCGCGATCTTGTATATTACTGTTTATTTATTATTGAATATTTCAGTCCGCACATAGGACGGAAATCTTTAATGAGAGCAACGGTCGAGTATAGTATAAAATTTATCCTTACTGGGAAAAAAAAAACAGACAGCAACCCCCAACCTCAAAAGGTGATGGTTTATAAAAACTTAAAATAAAAACAAAAAAGTTACAAGCCTATTTGCGATTTGTTAGTGTGTCGGTGTGTTAGTGCGATTGTTAGTGTAATTGTAGTAAGATGTACTACTAGACATGCGTTTCTTCCGATTCCTTGTGGGCCAATAACTTCTATACATTTCTCGTAAATATAATACGTAGTTTTTTGGCAGCAAAGTATTTATATTCTTGCAACAAAAAATAGTTTATGTAGGTTTAAACTTTATGTCTACTCTGAGTCATACGTCTGTCTTATGACTATCGACCATCATAAACTTGGATTATCCTAACGTTAGTTATCGCAACACTTATCACCCGAAATCATATCATTCGACTGCAAACCACATAAATTTGAAAGATTCGGATGATTAAGTTTACAACTAATACTTGGTTGGTAAAACAAAAACGGGTACTATACTGATAAATTTATTGAAATAAAAAAATTAAATTCGAAGAGCACGAAATCCTTGGGTTTTGTTTACTGGATAGTAGTTGTTAACACTTTCTAATTTAATTCACAATCGCATTTCTTGTACATAGTTGTTTTCCTAAACTTTCTAGTGATCTATTTCTTACTTTCCTCGAGCCTTGGGCTGGAAGCAGTGTCGGTATGTAAGGTTGTTGTTTGTTGATTAGAATACTGTAGGTCTAATTATTGGGCATTTGTAATATCTAATCAAATTAATTAAGAAGCTGTACACGGGTTTTTTTAAGAGCAAACAATTTATTTTCATACCTAATACAATAAAAAGAACCATGAAAACATATAGCCTAATGACAAGAGGTGACAAATATACAAATGATACTTTTCGTAACGCAAACATCACAAGTAATACAATTAAAGGTTCACACTTGCGAATTAATACTACAATCTGCCTAAAAGGTTGGATTTAATTATTGACATCAGCGCTGAGTCGACAGTCGGCGTTGACCTGTTTACTGCCTCAGAACAATTAAGTAATTACAGCCAAGCTTGGATACAATAGATTTGCTCAAGTGGTAAATATATTTAATTAATTCGCGTCGGATTACCACAGCATATCATTGCCATAGAATTGCAAAGTTTCTTAACGAGATCCAAGAATCTTCTTAATACTTAATGAACTTGTTTTAGTAAAATAAATATACCTTTTGTTTCTGTAAATAGGCAAATCATCACTTTGCAAATTATTTATTTCTATTATTAGGCCTACCATTTCAGATGGGGACGTTACTTAAGTGGCCATTTTGCATTTTGTCTGTACGCTCATACATATACGTAATACTTTGGTAATACCATACTACTGTACTGTACTATACTCACCCCGCCTTGGCACGCTGCACTCATTGGTGGATGGTGGCTTATTACCACTGTAGTTGATTTGACAAAAACAGTTTGTTACTGGGGTATTGTTATGTGTGTAAAATAACGATACTTAGAAGGCAGCAGTATAAAATTTCACCGTTTAGGACAATTACATGCATTCATAAACAGGTTTCAAAATATAATAAGGCAACGCACTATTTTAGAGTTTGCTAATTGATGTCATCGAATGTACTACTCTAGTTACACTATGTATTACTCTAGTTACTAGAGCTAAAAACCATCTCTTGTACACCTTTTGTAGTAAACTCTACTAGTTTAATGTGACGGAGTCATTTTAAAAAGTTATAGTTTCCCTTTCCTTATCATGAAAGTATTTCTGAGCACCACGAAACATATTTTCACGCCAAAATCGGATAAAAGGATTTGCTGAACTTCAAACACAGCTAAAGCCACATTGAATGATTGGCTATACATTTTCTGCAACTATTTTGGATATTGTATGCCATTAACTAAAACGTAATGGATTTGCAGTTTTATCTAATCAGCATTGATAACAATCAATGACTATCATTACGTTGTGGTTGGACGTCAGAACCCTATTACAATCTCAAATAACAAAAGTGTTTTTTATATTTTCTGTTTTTAATTTTGTTATTTTTTTTATGTTAAATGAGCGGTCATAGCTCGTCAGCAGAAGTTTTAGGGTCTAAAATAGAAATGATGAGTATTATCATAGACAGGAGTATGGTATTATTCACCAAATTTTGATGTATTGAAAATTTAAAATTGTGGCTGCTGATGATAAAACATGTTGAGTGATGGACTCGTGTTTGTGTTTGTTGTTTTCAAGTGTGTTTCTGTTTGCTTCGTTCCACTTATTGGTCTGGCTTATGCCCAACATTTCTATTTAAAATTTATATAGGAGTGCCTGACAAATTAACATGAACAACGGACGAAATATCTTTAAACCACATATACCTACAGATTTAATGGTCGGAAATTTCCAAGGAAAACGATGTTTACGAGGTATGAAAGTACCACTGAAAGAATTGGTTCAAACGGGCAAACGGTTCCAGAATGCTATGGGACGTTATTCCTAAACTAAATGTCGTACGCGAGAAAAAAGTAAGAAATTACTTAAGTGAATTCATATATGAACTGACTTGTAATTTTTTTTTGGAACCAGTTTCAAAAACAATATAATAATTATTTATCTTGATGGATAAATCCGTGTTTACCTATGAATTCCAAGTTGAATAAATTCTGAGTTCGAGCTAAATATTGAACTCCCTCGTCTAGTGAGGTTTATAGAAACACTTATTTTCTAAATACTAATAGGAAAACTAATGCAAACCGTTGTAGCGATTGACATTGATTTGAGTATTGGTAATTTTAAAGTGATATGATGCTGATGCATAATTTAATTTTCCTTAACTTGGTTAATAACACAATGCTATGCACTCTTGAGTAGTCATTAAATTCGTACAGACATTGTTAAAAATACTCTAGACCAGCTAATGTTTTGCTTAAGAGGTGTACTGATCACAGGATCAGAAATGCAGTTACAGTATTATTGTTTGACTTATTTATCTATGGCCATGAAGCCAAACTAGATTTGTTACTACTCAAACCGTACTTTGTCTACAACAATGCAAAAATAGTAAACGCTAAAACTCTGGTGGATAATTTTAGAAAGTTTGTTTACAATAATGTAATGGAAGTTTACTACAATGCGAAAATTGTGAAACCAAAACATTGTTAACAATGTTCGACTTCACGAACTGTAAAAGTATTTTTTTAAGAATATTGTTTACATCAATGGAAAAACTGTGATAATGACAACCAAAACAACGGAGAAAGCCCATTGATTTCACGAACTGTACAGGCTCTAGTGAATACATTTCGAATATAAGCATCGGCAAGATAAACGAATATATTTTAATTTTTTATCCATCAACACCGTGGCATTTTTTTTAAGGAAACGGTCCGAACTGGGGTCTACTTACGATATCGTCGAACTTTTGTTCGTCCCAGTGAAAAGTGGCATCTGAGTCCAATATCGATATTGTTTTGGAAATTTAATAGACTACTCATTAGCCTAAATAACATACAGTGCTTGCCTAATCCAAAGGTCACCGGTACGATTCTACCAAAAGCCCAAACTGGATCCAGCTATACTAGATGTATTTTAAATGCTCATGGCTTAAGAAACATTTAATTTTAGTCAACAAAAAAGCTAATAATGTCACTCCTACACTCATCTTGCATCCACATTCGCATTCTTTGCTGTCTCAAAGAATTAAATTTAATTAAACTAAAAATATTGCATGACCAAACTCACGGTTATCTCTACGAAGGACGTCGTCAGTCCAGGAGGTGTCAGAAGGAACACAGTCGACCATACCACCGTCATCGCTAACCTGAAGATCCTTGGACTCCGGGCAGCATTTGTGGACACACTGGAACCTCTTACAGTCTGGGCATAGCAGAGCGACGTACAACCTCTCCGGTACCAACCCAGGCAGATGTAAGCTGTCCACACACATCTCTCCGCGGGCGAGTACCCAGGGGTCGCCGTGGTCGTCGGTCACCACCACCTCCTCGCCTCGCACCTCTAGGTCGTCTTTGATCACAAAAACCTCCTGCCTGACACAGTTGAACTTGCTGCGGTGCTCCAGAAGATAGGATACGTTCATGTCGTTGATGACGACTGTAAGAGTGTCAGGGAAGATGGAGTTACTGATGTTGTAGCTGAGGTTGACTCCAGCGTCCTCCACGCAAGACTTCCCATCCCCAGCCATCTGCATGCCTGAAGGACAGCATTTCGGCAGCCAAGGTACTTCGGAGGCTAAGGAGTTTGAGAAGAGAAAGAGTATAAACAACATGTTTACCGAGTGTAAACAAGAGAGAATGGACACCGTGATACGCCCATCTCGGACCGAGTCTACCACGTTACTGAAGGAGAGAGGGAGTGGCGCACACCTGTTTGCTTCTGCTAGTCGGTCAGCTGGAGTTGTTTACCTTTGTAGTTCGCTCGCCGGCCACTGGACATCGGCAGCAGCACTGGACAGCATTGTTGATAACGACATTGTTAAACCAGTAGGCATTGTTTAGTAGGCTACACTATTACTATGGAATGAATTATGAATTATGCTAAATTTAGTCAAAAATGATGCACTGACAAAAAATATTTTTTCAACACTTGTTTCTTAGATCTTAAATGTTCTATAGGTTCAATCTACAAGACCGTATACTGCATATTTAATTACATTTTGCTATCTGAAATGCTGAAAAAATGTTGTTCTGAGTTTAAAGGAGCCTTAGAGGCTCAATATTTTCTCAGTTGCAGTTAAGTAGGTAATTTATTTTAATAAGTATTGTAGAGTTTGAATATCAAGTATTTTTGGTGAAGTTAGTTACAAAGAATACATATCTATGTTAGACCCAAATGAATTTACAATGTTTCATTTCATGTAAACAAGTAAGGTATGTTATTAAGATATGTATATAGGTTACTTTCGTTGTTTAAGAGAAAAAAAATTGTATATCAAACTGTAATTTAAGAAAATAATTGAATTTGTTGACTTATACTTTTCCATACCATAATAGAAATTATTAATTTGTAACAAACAATTTTAATCTTTGATCTAAAAAATAAGTGAAAAAATCACTGTCATGGATTTTTAAGTTGTCTTTTAAATGAAAGGAAAAAGAAATATTTTAATTTAAGTTTTTGTATACTTGTAATGTAAACTAATCGTTTCCAAGAATTTATGTCTATATTTTCTATTGGCTAACTAAAAAAGAATATTGATATAAAAAAAATAAATGTGTAAACTTAATTCCAGTACCAAGTTAAGTCTGTTTTAAGACCCAAGTTTTGCATAACATGTTTAGCCTAAGCATTTAATACATGATATCTCCAGTTGCTTACTGAGATAATAATTTGCCAATCTTTAAAAGTCATATCTGCTTATCTTTTAAAGGAAACAGTATTTGAAAACATAAAGATGCTCGTGTAATCAATCATTGTAACCATCATCAATCATTGTGCTTGTGTAACCTTGACATTGGTTTTTAATGATTTTAGATAAACTGTGTAATGTTTAAACAATTACAAACCTCTGAATAGATCTACTGGTTCAAACCTGAGGGCCAAACTTGCAGCTTTAAAAATTATAAAGTGGCAATTTTAATCACTCCACTATCCAACTTAACTTAAATATTAATTACTTTTATAGGAAAAATTAAGTAGGAAAATAAGAAATGCACAAAATAAAATTATTGCTTTTATTAGTCCCTTTGTCACTGAAAGATAAAAATATACATCTAGATCTCAGTATATCAGGATAGTGTAGAAAACATTCCACGGAAATAATTAGTCTATAAAATATTTGGCTTCAAAATATAAAAATTATCTAAAAACTATTGGTAACAATTAATTCAATGCTTAGCCTAAAATATACAAGCTAGTCTTACAACAAAAATAAGTACAGTACTTAATTCTTACAGATTGTCTAGTACACTTATTGACGATACCAGTGAGTGAAAATAAACAGTGAGAGAATAATAAACAGTTGTAGAAATAAATTGAAAGTACTTGTGAAGGGCTGTCTGTAAAAATATAGCTTGCATGCATATAATTAATTTAGTTGTTCAATTGTTTAGAGCAAAAAATCTCTTATAGATCAGAACTCTTACAAACAGTGTAAATTACTTTTTCCTACAGTCACATGACAAAGTAAACTTCTTTGCACAGATTATAGTACAGAAAGTTGCTAATTGGTGCATCCATACTTACTTTTGCCGCACACCAGTATAGTCCAGGAGCTGAGGGGGGTTGAGCATGCATGAAAGTAGTACGCAATGTTATTGCTGATTATTGTAATATGGACTGTGGTGATCAAAATTACGTATGTCGCCTATTTCAAAAGTGGTCGATAAGGTGGGGGGGAGGGGGCAAACATGGCGGTTTGCGCTATGCGTTAAAACGCTGATAGTTCGAAAACGGTAAAAGATAGAACATCGGTTAAAACGTCGTTGTAATCCTAAAAATGTGGACAACAATAATGGTCATTGGGTCCGAGGTCGTATCTCTATAAATAAACAAGTTATTGTATAAAATATGTAAAAATGGACTTTTCGTGTAGATTTTTTACCGAAAGTAGAATTAATTTGTGAGTGTCGCAAAGAAGTAATATCAAATATCTTTGCTGATAGTTGTAATATGGACTGTGGTGATACAAAATACGCATGTCGCTTACTTTTCAGGTGGTCGAGAACTTGGGGGGAGGGGGGCAAAGATGGCGGAACGCGCTATACATCGAAATGACTGTAGCTCGAGAACGGTACGAGATAGGACATCGGTTAAAACGTAGTTTTAATCCAAAAAATATTACCAATAGAAAAGGTCATTGGGTAAAAAGTCGTATCTTAACTAATAAAAAAGTTATAACAATAATAAGTTTAACAAAATCTACATCGTACAGCTATTTTTTTTGAAAATCGTATGGATTGTTGATAAATAATAGTGTAATTACTTAATTACTTAGCTAAATATTAACTAGATGCATTTTCTTATAAGAAAAAAATATATTATTACGAATACATATGTTTTAAAATGTAAAACACGGCCTCCAAACGCCTTGGGGTTCGTCCGTTAGGTTGCGTTATAATTGCTGCTGTTTTTAAAATAATGATTGCTTGTATTTTGTATTTCATTATACACTGAGTATATAAATGAAATAATGATAAATAAATAATCAAACAAATAAGATAATAATTAAATATGAAATATAATATATAGTAGTTTAATTCCATTGTAAATATAAACACCATAAACTTTAAATTTCTTGACCGCTCTCATGCATTAATTATATATAGATGTATATACATTTGTATCAAAGAAAATATTTACAATTTTTTATTTGTATTACAGGTGCTAAGGGAAATTAAAAAGGTACCTAGTTAAATTCAACAAATAATATGAACAACCAGTGTAATTGTTATGGATAGAATGAAGAGATTTGCCGTATTTTTTATTATAAGGTATTTACTTTCGTAGTAATGTTTTTTATTTCATATAACTGTATTAAATAAGAATCTGTTACATAATCATATTGTAATAACCTACAACATTATAATCATTAAAATTGGATTTGTAGTGGTAGTCTGTATTATGCATTTGATTGCGGCGAAACCCCAAGTATTATATGTAGTTTGGAGGCCGTGTTTTACATTTTAAACCATATTTATTCGTAATAATATATTTTTTTCTTATAAGAAAATGCATCTAGTTAATATTTAGCCGAGTAATTAAGTAATTACACTATTATTTATCAACAATCCATACGATTTTCAAAAAAAATAGCTGTACGATGTAGATTTTGTTAAACTTATTATTGTTATAACTTTTTTATTAGTTAAGATACGACTTTTTACCCAACGACCTTTTCTATTGGTAATATTTTTTGGATTAAAACTACGTTTTAACCGATGTCCTATCTCGTACCGTTCTCGAGCTACAGTCATTTCGATGTATAGCGCGTTCCGCCATCTTTGCCCCCCTCCCCCAAGTTCTCGACCACCTGAAAAGTAGGCGACATTCGTATTTTGTATCACCACAGTCCATATTACAACTATCAGCAAAGATATTTGATATTACTTCTTTGCGACACTCACAAATTAATTCTACTTTCGGTAAAAAATCTACACGAAAAGTCCATTTTTACATATTTTATACAATAACTTGTTTATTTATAGAGATACGACCTCGGACTCAATGACCATTATTGTTGTCCACATGTTTAGGATTACAACGACGTTTTAACCGATGTTCTATCTTTTACCGTTTTCGAACTATCGGCGTTTTAACGCATAGCGCAAACCGCCATGTTTGCCCCCTCCCCCCCCACCTTATCGACCACTTTTGAAATAGGCGACATACGTAATTTTGACCACCACAGTCCATATTACAATAATCAGCAATAACATTGCGTACTACTTTCATGCATGCTCAACCCCCCTCAGCTCCTGGACTAGTATTCCAACCAAACAACACAAAACAGCGTGCTTTTACTAGGCACGTAATACGTGTACGCTTGAAAATAAGTTGGCAACACTTGAAGATACGACTACGATCAGCTGGTGCAGCTTTCCCATTTCGTTCCATGTTTGGATTTATACCTCACCGAAATACGTGTTGTACAGTGTTTGAAAGACTAATTATTTATATGCTTTTACCTACGACAGTTTTTTAAAGTAGCCATTTCAGTCCAGTTCTTAGAATTGAGAAGTTTCACTTTATAGCTGTTTACTTTCATATCAGCATAGTTTCATTTCATATCAGCATAGTTTTTCTCATATCCACACAGGTAACGGACCAATGAGGTTCAAGTATTGAGAGAAAAGAATTAAAATTGTAATGCTTCGAACCAATTAATCAGCTGATCAGCTGATCAGTTGACCAATTTAATTGTTGATCCGACTTGTTCATGTTGATACTCGCGTATTCTTAATTAAGTTGGTGGAAGTCCAAAAATAAATGAAATATTTGCCGAATTGTACCTGATACAATATTATTTATGGTAAGAATGCTGCTAGCAATGTAATATTTAACGAAGTTTAACAAACACGTAATTACAGGAAATCAGCTGATTATACAACAAGTCGTTGCATCACTTTCAGTGGCAATGACAATACACGAAAACTTAACCTCTCTAAAAAATTATCAGTAGTGATTGTTAGTAATTAAATCCAGATTGATAGTAATTAAAAAAACGGTCGTAGGTTAAGTAGTGTACGCAACTCGCGTTAATAGTCTTTACGACACTCGCCAAGGCTCGTGCCTTAAATTTTCTACTCGTGTCGTAAAGACTCACTTAACGCAATCGTTGCGTAAACTACTATATCTTAACTGTAGTAACTGTAGGAAAAATATA